ATCGTTTCTAAGACTTCAAAGAACCTTGAAACATATTAAGATGCATAAAATGAAAATTGTTGCACGAAAAGATCTTAATTTCAAGCTTCATTTTGAGACTTTTTAAATAAAATAATGAATTTAAGAGTTATCCTTCCTGGCTGAGGATTGGATATCCTTAATACAGTAAATACACTGGTTTTATCAATTTTCATTGGCATCAATTTTTGTGCAATCAGCGAATGACTCAGTATTTCGTGAACACAGGTCATTATAAAACTTTTTGATATGCTTCTTACTCTAATGACCATCAAATTCTATTTTAATTTTCACTCTGCAAAACACAAAACCACAAAAATTAATGTTTAAAGAATGTTGATGGAACCATTGTACATGTATTTTATATGACTGGATTTTTAATGAGATAAATGGTTGAGAAGACTACAATATGGAGGCAGGACTTTATGTATACTGGCACATGATCTGTAGTGCAAATGATCTGTTTAGGTTTACAGGCCAGTCATTTCTGTAACTAAAGTTACCCCCCCTCCTGAAATAAAGACAAGTTAATTTTTAATAGTAGTATTATTTTAATACGTAACAAGGAATCTTTGTCAAACACTGATACCAATCAAGTCTCTAAAAAGGGGGTTAAACTCTAGAGTCTAGGGTCATTACGTAATACCGGTAAATTTTTGTGATACATAATGATATATATATATACGAAGGTTGTCAAAAAGTTCGTGGACAAATGCTTAAATTTCTTTATAAAGTCCGCAATGGCAAACATGTATGATAATATCTTAATATAGACCATGATTGAGTAAATATACAAAAATTAAACAATGCACACTATTTACTGAACATTATAGGTGTAAATACTTTGTATATGCAAGTTGCACGGGCCAGTCTGACGTAACGCTTATTTCATGACAACGTCAGAAATATGAATTTTGGATTTTTATCGCATGTTCATAGACGCACGCTATTTTTCTTTATTATGCCACATTGCCAAATGTGTGCAATAAAATTTATGTATAGATTAATTATAATTAATTTAAATTTTAAAATTCAAAACAATACACAATAATTTACGAGCGTCATCAATATGAACACTTCGTAAACACAGGATGCACAGCCCAGCCCAACGGCGTTATATTTATAACAACGTCATGAATAGGAATATATCCTATTTTCATCAAATAACAGTGGTTTTCCACTTCTTGTATGTCTCCAGAATTTTACACACCGTTGAAAAATCGTTTTCACCAATTACAAATCACTAGACTAAATATTTTCCAATAAATTTAAGTTGTTTGAATAAATATTTTGTTTTTGATGACGTTTCAACCATATTAACCATAATTGTATGATTGGACGCTGTCCCGTTAGGATGGCCGACGTCGCTTTTTCTGTCAATTTTTGAAACATACTTCTTGCGGTTTTCACTTAATATTTTCATTGTCTATTTAGTAAGCGATACTAAAGGTATCAGAAAATGGCGATAACCGTTTTATTTGTGATATATTAAATTTTTATTCAGCTTTGACTCGTTTTAAAAAGAAAATGATCATTTCAATCAGATCACTTTATTTAAAAGTTCATGGCATTTTAACCCTGGTCAGTGCGCACTATCGGCGACCTTTTTACAAAAATATAACGTTCAAACAATAAAAATCAAACTATTCTGACTTGGATTTTCATAACTAATATTTTGGTATACAATAAGCATATCTTGAACCATTCATTTTGACAAAAACGCCCTTGTCCACGAACTGTTTGGACAACCCTTGTATATATATATATATAGAGAGAGAGAGAGAGAGAGATATTGAAAGTAGGCCAACTCAAAAAATTGGGGTAAAATTCGGATTACTCTAGCACAAATTGTGGTAAGGCATGCAAGGATCAAAGGGGATCCAGATCCAAACTGACATAGAAAAATTACTAAAGCTATGCCTCGGACCTCTTTCCCTTGCGATTTGAGCCAACACCTCCTAGGGAAAAATTTCTGGATCCACCCAACAAAAAATTACAATCGGGCTCGGGCTGTCGACTTGAATATAAGCGATAATGCTTAAATTATTGAGAAAATCGATGTCATTTGAGTGTTTTAATGCAAGGAGAAAATACTTATGTGATATTAGGATGAGATGGACGAGATGGACGCGCTGGCGCGCCGACGCGCCGAATACAATTAGCCGTTTATACTAATCATTGCATCAGGGCCACGTGTATTACCTTACTTGACGAGAGTGGATATGAGGGTAGACACATCATCGGAATATCTAAACATAAGTCAGAGACGAGTCTTAAGCATTATTCTTCACATCTCAGTGAAAATAAGATCCATGGCATGTCCAACGCTTTGTCCGAAAAAATTCTTCCCCAGACTGTGACCGTCACCGAGAAAACAACACTCACTGAGCAGACAACTTCGGAAGAATCTGTGTTAAGTTTGAGTGACCTTGATTTATTAGAAATACCAATGCTGCCTACAAACCTCAATTCCCCATATGAGAAAAATGCGCAAAAACAAGACTTTAATTCGTGCAACTTCAACCAGTGTACCATTGTCTTTAACAAATACACAAACTTAATTAGTTTCATTATGTGTTCATAATTCTGAGTACTTTTTTTCACCTGTTTAAAATAAAGTTTAATGGCAAGTAAATTGTGCTTTATTTATTAAATATGTTGTAATAAAAAGTGAAAGGTATAACAAAACATTTATTGACTAGTTTCTCAGGCAAAACGCGTTTTGTCGGACCCTCGAACCAAACTGTTGCCTTCGTCCTAACGGCCTCAGGCAACAGTTTGGTTCTTGGGTCCGACAAAATGCATGTTGCTCTTGAACCCAGTCAATAAATGTATAATATGCATGTTTTGTCGATTTTTACGAATATATATGCTTAATTTTATATGCATTAAACATAAGAAAAGATTTAAGAAACATTTATTCTTATCCAAGACTATTTCAGAATATGGTGATGCTTTATAGCCCGATTTCAGTGGAAAATATCGTCTACCCCCCTTATTTCAAGAGCTGGAATTAGGGATATTTTACTATTTAGCACTGGAATTAAAATAATTAATCAATTACCATTGAACTGTTCTTTGTATTAAACAAAGATTTGATGGCCAAATTGTCATCAATATTGAAATAAATGGTTGTAAAATGTAGGCGGGAATCGCGAGTTACCGTGCGTAGTTCTTTAAAATCTGGTAAACTGTTGAAGAATAAATTTTTATTGACTAATAGTATACTCGAAAATGTTACCAATTATAAATATCTTGGTGTTTATTACACTGCATCAGGTACTTTTTCGTAGGCTAAAGATGCATTGTACAAAAAAAGGTTTGAAATGTTATTTTAAGTTATGTAAAGATATATTAGCATTTCATCCTTCTGTTAAAACTAGTCTACATATTTTTGACCATACACTTAAGCCAATACTGTTATATGGCAGCAAAATATGGGATGTTTTTAATCCTCATTCACCACGATTCAGAAATGGTATCTCAGTTGACAATGTATATAATTTTTCAGAACCTGACAAGCTACACTTGAAGTTTTGTAAATTTATTTTGGGTGTTCATAAGAATTAGTGCCAATTTTGTAGAAATGTCAGAATGTTGTAGATTTCCATATTATATTGATATCATAAAAATCAATGTTATTATATTGGCATAGATTGGAAAATTCTGAAAACAATTCTCCTCTGTACAATGCTTTTATTAATTCCAAAACACTTAGTACAAGTCATCGTCGCAAACCACGGCCAAAATGTATGATCCTCTCCCATTCTGGCCGTGGTTGAATGAGAAGAGAATATTTCGTAGCTCATTAATATATTGACCAATGCGAGTAAAGCATAGTCGGATAATGGACTTTGACGCGACCTTTCATTACCCAATCGCAGTTTATGGAACATTTTTTGTATAATGTTGACGTCAATTGTTGATTTTGATGGAAACAAATATTGTCATTGGCTGAACATGACATCACAATATAGAGGCGTAAATATTCAAGATAACGACACTTTTTGTGATCAAGCAGCCATGGGTAGGAGAGAGCTATATGCAGACTCCGGACTGTGGCTAGAGACGATGAGTACAAATAGAGACTCCTGGTTCTTGTATACTTGAATTTTTGAAAATTTTAGAAATATCAAAAAATGCCTCCTCTTTGAGTCTATCTAAATTCCAAATTGTCATCAATAATCAAATCCTCAAAAAGTTTATTTGCTCTTGGTTCAACTCTAAAGAAAAAAATTCTCCTGGAAAATCGGATTCTTATGTAAAGCTGAAAAGTAATTTCCAATGTGAAGAATATTTAACATTCCTGGAGAAATTTGACTTTAGAAGGGAAATAACCAGATTATGAATATCTTCTCACAGGCTTAAAATTTAAACTGGACTAGAAAGAGATAAAAGAATATGTGAAAAATGTAATTTGAATGTAGTGGAAAATGAAATACATTTTACCATAGATTGTCCTTTTTACAAAGAAAAAAAGAACCAAACTTCTAAATGAAGCACAGAAACATAAAATTTTAATTGAGCATAATAGAGCTTAGATAGTTCTCAAAAATATTTTTGGATCATTGCATGTGAAAATATGAATGTCTTACTTCAACTTGGAAACTACCTCTCTTATCATTTAATATGACATTGTAAAGCACACCAACTTGCTTTGTATGTACTTTACTTTTACTTTTTTTTTAATTTATCTTATTGATAATGTATTGCCTTTGTCTACTAATGTATCTTTCATGCCTCTCTGGGGGCCCTTGATTGGAAAAAAATATTGTCTATTGTCTATAGTGTCTAATAAATATGTTTTAACTTACAAAATTTGGTAATGATGTAAAGCAATGTTTCACATGTGTGGCTAATATTAGACAGTGACCTGAAATGGCGGCGGGAACAATCAAGTACTCACCGATGATCACGTTTTCAACAAAAACATTGTATAAAGTAAAAAACAAAAATAATGATTACAACAAAAATCAACTTACCTCAGTCTGAAGTAATCTTCTTCTGTGTCTTTGATGATGAAAGAATGCTTTGATAGATTGCTTGGAAGGCTTTTGCAGAAGCAAATGCAAATCACTGCTATTCGAGTTAGACTCTAATATCAGTGTGACGAATTCTCATTCAGGGTCAGCTCACGTGACCAATGCTGGTCAATAGAGCGTGAAAACTGTGAAAAGGTGAGAGAGAGAGAGAGAGAGAGAGAGAGAGAGAGAGAGAGAGAGACTAAATTAGTTTTTATAAATAACAAAAAAAAAAAAAAGAGCGGGTGCGCATTTAAATTGTTTGAAATATGATGAGGGATGGGACATGTGAGAGGCAATGATTTAGGGACACACCTTTATTCATGGAGCTCAAAATTAAAATAAACTCAAATAATTAAAGACTATTTTATTTTTTGAAGATATCATGAACTCATTATATTACTACGAAAGCCTATTAGGATCAAACTACGGTAAAAAAAAAATTTAAAAGGCGTTATAACGCCTTTTCGAAAGGCGTTATAACGCGAAAAAAGGCGTAATAACGCCTTTTGAAAAGGCGCTATAACGCGGAAAAAGGCGTAATAACACAAGTAAATGCGTAATTACGCCTTTCCAAAAGGCGTTATAACGCGAAAAAAGGCGTTATTACGCCTTTCCAAAAGGCGTTATTACGCCTTTCTAAAAGGCAATATTACGCCTTTCCAAAAGGTGTTATTACGCCTTTCCAAAAGGTTTTATTACGCCTTTCCAAAAGGCGTTATTACGCCTTTTAAAATGGCGTTATTACGCCTTTCCAAAAGGCGTTATTAAGCCTTTTTTTTCAATACATGACTTACTTAGCCCACCCTGGGGGCTGATTATAATTAGATTTCTAGGAAAAAAAGATTTTTAAATGTGTAAAATATTTTCAGTGTTAAACCAACTTAGTCCTTCTCTGATGCCAGACGCTTCTACCAAGGTGTATGGATTTCAGAAATTTTGTTGAAGGCTAATTGCTCATTATACCTATGCAAATACTTTGCCTGTTTTTTTTACCAAGAGGAGAGAAAAATATTTCAAATTTGACATGAATTTTTAATACGTGGCTTGCAAAGCCCAAAGCTGGTTCTGCCTATATCCTGGATTTTCAAAAGTAGAATGTTGACTTTTCTTAATATGCATGCAAAATGCAAACAACTGTCTGCGAGATGTGCAGGAATATAGAAAATACTATAATTATATTATAATATAATTTATAATATTAAAACTATAATCTAAATATTGCATTAATAAAGATGGCTTTGGTTCAATCTTTCATGTATTTTCTTATTTTAAAATAACGCCTTTCCATTTTTGGATACAACTCCTTTTCAAACAGGCCGGTAGTACGAATGTGAGGGGGGGGGGGGTCCCCCACCCCACTTTTTGGGAGAATAGTCTTGCTATAGTTTAAATATAAAAAATCATTTATTGATTGCTTGGTCCCTTAACATTTTGTTGCAGTATGGTTAAACTCGGGCAAGTCATTGCATTTAAAAAAAGTTTTACCGAAAAATTAGAAAAAGTTTCCCCTCAAGTTTAGGCAGTTTATTTTTTTTTCGGGGGGGGGGGGTCTTTTTTTTTGTTTGCTTGTCAATTTTATGGACCCCCCCCCCACTTTAAAAGCACGGGCCTGTCAAAGACATAATAATGGCCCTTCAAAAGGCATAATAACGCCTTTTTGAAAGGCGTATAATGCCTTTTAAAAAGGCGTAATAACGCCTTTTTCAAAGGCGTAATAACGCGTTTTGGAAAGGCGTAATAACGCCTAATAACGCCTTTTGGAAAGGCGTAATAACGCCTTTTGGAAGGGCGTAATAACGCCTTTTGAAAAGGCGTAATAACGCTTTTTTTCGCGTTATAACGCCCTTTGAAAAGGCGTTATAACGCCTTTTAAATTTTTTTTTTACCGTAGTTTGATCCTAATAGGCTTTCGTACTATATATAATCTTTGATAGTAAAATTGTACGCGAAATGAAATTTTTGCGAGCAGACGGACTTGCGTAATCACGTGAAAACAAAGCTCTGGAGATTAAAAAGTGATTTACAGTAGTTTAGAAAATGTGCATACTATGGTCTAAATGCGAATCAACGAAACTAATTACTTTAAAGAAACATCTAAAAAAAAATGAAAATTTTGAAAAATATTTTTTTTTGTGCATTAGCTCTCCGTAATTTGGTTTATTGTTGTTTTTTTTTTAACCTTAGCTAAGAAAGTTGAGGAGTACGTTTTTTTTTAATTTAAAAAATTAATTGTTATTTGTTTATTTTTCAATTGTCAAGATGAAACGAACAGTGATCAATCTCCTAAATCCTGAGTTATTTTTCTTGGTGTATACAGTATGTCCAGTAGAAATATATAATACATATGTATATCAGTAAAATAATAATGAAAGAAATATGATAGAATGACATATGCCAACTGTATACTAAAAAGTTTCTTTTTACTTAGTATACAGTTGGAATATGTCATTCTTAAAACGTGCATAATGTCAAATTTCTGTGGCAGTCTAGTGAATATCAGATAGATTTACAAAAAACTCAAAATAACAACTGCATGTGCACTTAAAAAAAATGTTACGAATATAGTTCGAATTTCATCGACAATACATTATATAGAAAATATACATTATCCTTGACCCAATTACTTTGTTCCTAAAATATGTTGGAGTCCCCTCTCCCTCCTAAAAAGTTATTTTAACAATCCACACAAGTCAAAATTTTTTTGATTATGTATGGAGAACATATAAATCGTGATGCCTGATAGCAAAACTTGCCCTGACCCACAGAGATATTGTAGACCTACAGACTAGATAAGTCGACATCTTTATTGGAAATCTTTTGTTTGGTTTTTATCTGGTAAATGGTTGTCATGAAAATAGCAGTTCTTCTGAGCATTATAATAGGTAAGATGAAATTCTTATATGTAATGGATAAATAACAAGATGGTGTTGAATAGTTTAGAGAAAACATTCCCTCCGAGGGCCGAAGGCCCGAGGAGGGGATGTTTTCTCTAAACTATTCAACACTATCGAGTTATTTATCTTACTTAAAAAACTTCCCTACTTTGGACCCCAAAGAAACATTTACCCATTCATATATCCAACTTTGCTGTAATACAATGGGATCTAGCCCATTCAGATATCCAACAGTGACACAATACAATAGCCTAATCGAACACCCCTTTTATTCATGGACTAGTGAGCATGAAACTGCATGGTGCTAATGTTATTTCAAACCTATCCATTGTTCTGAACAGTCATGGAATCAGATGAAGAATGGTTTTAAATCCAATGTAAATTTAGAGAGGTTCAGATAGTTTTGTCTTGAAGCAGAAGAAAACTACAAAATTTTGATAAAATGTTGGAAATCTATCATTACATGTAAGATAATGATTTGTTGGGGAAAAGTGTTGGAATCTTACGGAGCTCCATTCGGACAATACTTCTAGTAGTGCTATAACAGATGAAAACATTGTCGGTTTTATGCGGAACCTGCTTTAAAAATATTCCATATCAAGATTTGCAATAAAAAGAGTAACAAAAAATAGATGGGGTGTTAATTTATTACATTGTTTTGGGAAGTACAATGGAAAAGTATGAGAACAGAGACGAACCTCGAAAAATCTGAGAGGATTTGCTTATAACGCACCCCTGAAATAATATTCAGCAACAGGAAGTGATGTGGATTAAGGTTCAAGGTGAAAATGTATTTATAAGCATGTCAAAAAGTGATGCTTTCAAAATTTAAGACCGGAAACATTCTGTTAAAATACCATCGGATAAGTATTGGATATTTTATTGACGACAAGTGTTAACAGTGTGCAAAATTCGGAGGAATTTTAATTTTTGTGAGCATTGAAAGTACATTTTTAACACAATTCTAATGGTGTGAAAAAGTGATTAAAATTCCGTGTGCATTGGACATAAATTCTGATAGTGTGACAAATTCTAAATAATTGTTTTTTATGTACATTGGAAATACATTTTCAACTCTTTTATCTCTTTTGTTCATTGCTTAATTATATTTGTATGCACAGTTGGATATTTAAATATCCAACCGATAGGCCAGTTGGATCTTTAAATATCCAACTAGTGATGGTTGAATCGGTAAAATATAAGTAGACCAATAACAATGGGTGACGTCATTGAAGTTTTTTAATAACGCAAAATGAATAAGTATCACAAACATCTTCTAAACAGACCTCTGCTTTGTGTGAGGGTGTGTGTGTGTGTGTGTGTGTGTTTTTAAAGATCAATAATTTTGGGGAAGTAAAATATCCAATATATTTTTACGTTGAATTACGAGAAAAGTTGCTTTTCGAGCAATATCTTCAACATATAATGAATGGAACATAGAGGAAACTTAGATACATGAGATGATATGGGTTGAAAAAATCTAACACAAGCTTGAATTTAAGGATATTAGGGAGATAAACAAAAAAAATAAATATACCAACTTCATTTAAGTTTTTGAGTTAAGCATTGTTTTTGATAATGTCATGAAGTGTTTTTTACAGGTTACGTGACAGCGGAGAATTGTCGCATTGACGCAGACTGTGTTCATACAACTTGTGACTCAGTCACGGACCTACACTGCATCAATGGAGTCTGCTCATGTGCTGAATGGTCAGAATTTTGTAAGTACATTATACTTACATACACGATATAACAAGAAACCATTGAGATAAACAGATATTCATGCTTAACAACTTTCTTTCACAAAACGTACATAATAATAGCTCTAAAGTGAAGGGAAAAATGAAATCATTCTCTTTTGGTATATTAGGATGATACAAAATTAACTATACATCTGTCTTGTATTTTAGCATGCCTCACTCTGAATGATTGTCAAAATATAAGCAACTGGTACTGTCCACAAAATAGACGTCACTGTATTGATAACAGGTGTAAATGTATAAGAATCTAGGAAGATTAAAAAACAAGATGTGTTTGTGAAACACTGATGCCCCCGTATGGCAGCTAATGGCGAAGGTTAAAGTTTCTCAAATGCAAGTCAAAATCCAGGCCAAAAGATAAAAAATGTTGGCACCCAAAGAAAGGTCTTGTCTTGAGGAATATACCTGTGAAATCTGAAAGACCTAGTTGCAACTGTTCAAAAGTTATGGCGAAGGTTAAAGTTTTTTAAAAGTAAGTAAAACGTCAAGGTCAAGGTCAAAGTGGTTGGTATCCAAAGGAAGGTCTTGTCACAAGGATTACATATGTAAAGTATGAAAGCCCTAGCACCAACCATTCAAAAGTTATGACCAAGGTTAAAGCTTTTCAAAAGTAGGTCAAACTCCTAGGTCAAGGACAAACTGTCAAAGTGGTTGGTATCAAAAAAAGGTCTTGTCACAAGGATTACATATGTGAAGTATGAAAGCCCTAGCACCAACCATTCAAAAGTTATGACCAAGGTTAAAGCTTTTCAAAAGTAGGTCAAACTCCTAGGTCAAGGTCAAACTGTCAAAGTGGTTGATATCCAAAGGAAGGCCTTGTCACAAAGTATACACATGTGAAGTTTGAAAGCCCAAGCACCAACTGTTCAGAAGATATAGCCAAGGTTAAAGTCTCATAAAATTTTGCAAAAGTGGGTCAAACTCCAAGGTCAAAAGGTCAAATATGATGGTACCCAAAGAAAGGTCTTGTCACAAGGAATACACATGTGAAATATGAAAGTCATAGCTCCAACCAATCAAAAGTTATGGGCAAGGTTAAAGTTGACAGCAGACAGACAGACAAACAGACAGACAGGACAAAAACAATATACCCCCGGGATCTTTCGATCCGGGGGCATAAAAATTAAAGTATAATGATACATATAAAGTAATTCTGTGTCAAAGAGAGAGAGAGAGGAATTACTTCACACAAGATAAAAAGAGCAAACTATTAAAAAAAGAAAAAAGAAATATATTTGAGTCTAGTGATGAAAAAGAATAGAAATGAAGACTGACACCGACGATTAATGCTTTATTTTTAGCTCACATAAGCTATTTTCATCAATGAATAAGTAGTGTCAAGTTTTCTTTCACTTTTTTTAATTGACCCCCCTTTGTTCTGAACAAAACAAAATTAAATAATGAATATTTGAATATTGAGGAGGAAATACTCAAAATATCCAAATATCACCCTAATTACTTAGCAACATATTATCTGCATTAAGGGAATGGGGTCTATTAAGCGAATGATGGGATCAGGTGCCTAGGATGCCTAAGCATCCCCTGTTGACCGGTCACACCCCCCGCGAGCCCTATGTATTGGAACTGGAACTGCTGTCTATCACTTAAAGATAAATTGTATTTGCTGACAAGACCATAGAACTTACGAAATGACGACTTTAAACGATACTGCTGATATCCTTTTTAAACTGAAATGTCTGGAGCAAATTCATACTACCATTTCATCTATGGGAAATAAACCTTTTCAAATTTAGTAGAAATATTTATCTATCTATTTCTATACTTCTACAATATTTGGACAGAGTAACCTTTATGCACAAATGTTCATTTTCTCATGGATTTTACTTTCTGATAGGTTATAAATTAGGAATAATCACTCACAAAAAACTGTTTTCCAAATTATTGTGGACACTATAGAAATATGAACAACAGGTATATTATAGAGAATCAGAGTTTACGTAAAATTAAAATTTCAAGAAGTGCACAGTAACGATAATCGAAGTGTAAAAATCAAAAATTAATAAGTAATCTTCATAAAAGAACGATTAACTATGGTCTTTAGCTAGATTCATTTATACAACAACAGCACAGCATTTTTTTGACATATAAATCTTAATCTATGACGTTTTTAAAGGGAATCCATCAACACCATTTCAAATATCTCATTTGCGTGAACTGGTTAATATTTTGGATGAGGTCTTATATATGTTGCCATTCACCTTTGTCATTAACAAAGAAATTATGGGACTTCCAAAATTCTGAAGAAAATTTCATGTTCAAGCTCATCTATCAGGGAAATTTGCCATGTTTCCCCAAAAATATATCCTACAGATTCGTAAAGATATCCAAGCATCTTCAGTTGGTATAGTTTTACTTCATTCAAATTAATGATCCAGTAAGGTAGTATGGCGATTATAATTATTGTTGAAAGATTGTTAGGAAATTGAAACATTCTCCAATTAATAATGATAGAAAATCTCATATTGATTTACTAATCTACAAGTGTCTACTAATCTACAAGTGTCTACTTATTGTGTGGACAAAATTAGGGTTCGAAGTTTTATGAAAATAACTGTCTAGTTTACGGAATTATGAGGGTATAGGTACCAAGGAGCACAAAGTAAATTAAGCGGTTTATGCATAAAGAACAAGGTACGGTTTTAATACAAAACTTGCCCTGTGTTTTTCTTAAAAATGAAAGTGATGTAAAAAATTAAAACTCATGCTCTCTGAATCATTGAAATTCCATGCAGAAAGATCATACAAATAATTTTTTCTTGCATGACCTTCTAATTTATGCTAATTGTGACGTCATAAACTTGTGCATTTTCCCGTATTTTCTTAAAAAGTTGCGGAAGACACCAACTTTCAATTGAATTTTCTTTCAGATAATATGTCTATAGGCATCACCGACAAAGATTTTGAGATATGTGATTTTTCAAAGAATTTTACACAACATATCCGAAAATTAAAGTGGGCGACGGCTGTGGACAGTATTTTCTTAAGGAAAATAACCCTTGAAATTGGTCATTTTGAGACTTTTTCTGTTTTAAATAGAGAAATGCATCAAATTAATGATGTCACATTTCCAGAATGGTACTCCTTCATGCCATATTGTTTCCTGATTTATTACAGTCATATACTCAACTAATATTTAAGTCAGTTTCAAAACTTTTTGAAAACATTAAATTTTTAGGGCACAATAAAGCTAAAACCGTACCTTCTTTTTACCAAGTGCTTCAATATATAAATAACCTCAAACGCCTCCAAAGCATAGATTTTTTGCTATTACATCATATATTTACAATTTGAATTATTAAGAAATATTTTTCGTCCTAACATTTACTCAAACACTGTGCACTAATAATGAATTGAATAGACGTGTGACTTTACACAGCGTGTAAAAAGTTAAAATACACTTTCCAATAATTTGGAAAAAAAAATATAAAGCTTACTTTTCATCATGATATTGTTAAATCATGATCACATCGATTTTTTGCAAAAATTTAAACATTTCCAAATTTCATGGCAAATCCGAAAAACATTGTCTAGCAGTAAAGATTTTGAATAGGTCAGAACAGATTTATGTTTACAAAACATGATAAAACATAATCCATGTATTTAAAACCCTTTTTAAGCATAATTCTTACCGAATTTATGCCTTTGTATTATCCTTTAGAATTTTCTTGATTACAATACTTAGTCTAAATAATTTTCAAATAACTGATTCTTATCCCTAATAAATATACAACCTACACATATCTCTCTTTTTATCTCCTGAATTATCCAGAATCAGCAATATCTAAGAATCAAAGGGGGGGGGGGGGATTGCAACAGTACACTGTTCACTCAAAGCTTCTAAAATGACTAGATTTTTAACTGATGACACACGTCTCATCAGATATATGACAAGTTGCTTATATCATAGAAGTCTCATATTATTGGATATATAGTTTCAGGGAACCTGGAAATTTCCACCCCATGAAAGTGTAAGTTCAATACTACTCGACACCAACCTATACTTGTATAGATAATTTTAATTATATTCATAATAAAGTAACTTTGCAATTATAAATTTCTATCAAGAATATCAAATGCTTTTTTTATTTTTTTATTTCAAAATCTTTACTTATATATACAGGAAGTCTGATATATAGCACAATAATACTATCGTTTTCTCACAAACAAGGTGAGTAGCTGAAATATAGTAATGCATATGAATGAGTACACATTCAGCACTTTTTTGTTATACACTCACAAAAAAAAAAAAAAACGAAAGTTATTTTCATTATATAATTTATTAAACAAATTGATGCATTTTCAGAATCAGAATTACAAAATTGATACGACAAAGCAGCCTTAAAATGACCTTCAAGACCCTAAAAAATCAAACAAATGAAAAAGACAAATTGATGCATTTTCAGAATTACAAAATTGATACGACAAAGCAGCCTTAAAATGACTTCAAGACCCTAAAAAATCAAACAAATGAAGATTTCAAGATAACAGGTTAATTATTTATATATTTGAGAATTGAAATATTCATAATCAAATATAACATTGATAAGTTGATTGTACACCAATGAATGAAAAGGACTGAATCCTATTTCACGAAATATCTTTGACATGCAATTTTCTATCCTAAATGTCACAAAATCAGGATCTAGAATTAACACCAGATATGAATCTTTCTCAGCAAATGTCATGCCCCCCAAAATTCTAGTTCCGCTTTAATCAATTTTCCATCCGGAAAATGAAGTTTTACCATAAATATCACTAGTAATAAGTCCCGAACTAGTATCTGATGTTTTCCCAAAAACATCATCCCCCTTATTTACATGGGCCACCACACAACCCGTGGACTGGAGGAAACTGTTCGAAGGAGTGCGACTGTGTGTTATTCCCCACTCCTCTGAATTTATCATGAGCTGTGTGGAGTGAATTCCACCATCGCCATTTCTAAAACTCGATATAAATACGTAAACCCCTGTCTCTGGAGCTATAAATACCCCTGTGGAAGGATGATATCCGCTACCAATATTGGTTCTAACGTGGTCAAAAATAAGCACATGATGAGGCGTTGCTACATTACTGGGGAGGTTAGTAGACATGTACGCGTAGAAGGCAACAACTGCACCAGGTACTTCTGGGATTAACAATCTTTCTGCGAAAGATAATTACAATTATACAACTTTCATTACAACAAAATTGGATACTTTTAATAAACCAGGAACCATCCTAAATTATCAAGTCCTGAAAACAATTTAGAAGATTAAAAATGTTACTTATTCAAAATAGCAAATATACAAATAAAAGAACGAGGGCGCTTTTGATTGGCTTTCGGCAGGAATCTGGTCACTTGAGAAGTGAAAATTTCATTGATCTGTCACATGAAATTTTAGCATTCTTTTGATGTACCAGGTTCCTGTGAAATAGGAAAGGGAAATATTTTCCCGATATTGTATTTTGAAATGCTTAAAAAGAACGTGAAAATTAGCTAGATGAGTCATTTGGTACAAAATGTTACATTTTCAAACACGTTTTTCTAAAAATTTGCTACATCTGGGTCATCTCTCCATGATTTTCAAACGTTGTAAGTGTGCATTTTAATTCAAAGAAACTAACAAACATTTGTAAAAAATGGAGAGAAGACCCTGAGACGATAAGAAATTAACTTTTCCCGAAAAAATTCCAGTGTGTAAATGCGGTGCTTCAGTGTCGCTTTAAAAACCATAAAGTATGTGTAGCGGTGATAGCTCAGTAGTATGCGTTACCCGTCCAGTGCAATGAAATAGGAAAATATTTTTGGTTCGATCCTTGCATGGAGCATTAACATTTTTTTTAGTACAAACAATCAATCTTTTGTCAGTTTAATTTTTTGTATTGATTTATTTTCAAATAGATAAATTCTGGTTCTGTTGCACCGAAAGCGAAAGCAATTCTTCCAACCTACTGATACTTTAATATATACATGTTTGTACTTGCATTTAACTATACCCTATATGTGGTTATTATTCATGTGAAGCGTTACAAAGTTTTACAGTAATTATTAAGATAAGCGGACTGATATATTGAATTTGACAAAGTATTTCAAACTAAATACGACATTTTCCCATGTGCGGAACTTTGTAAAGTATGTCCAGGGGCTCGTTTCTCAAAAAGTCGTAGATTTAGGCCTAAGTTAGTCCGACTAAGTAAGTTACGCCAAAATTTAGACGGGCCTAAATCGCGTTTCAGAAAGCGGCGTAAGACTAGGCTTAGGACTAAGACCTCTCCACTAAGTACTAAGCATGCGCAGATCGTATTTTATTTGGTTTAGAGATTAAAATTACATGTGGTGGATCAAATTAATATCAAACTTAAATACAGAAGTAAGGCACGGAAAGCATTAGCGCGCGTGCATGTTTTCTCTCGTCACCATCTTTCAAACAGACATATTACACAAACCTATCTGTATTTTCAAGGTCAAAGCATTAAAATTAAATAACTATTTTTGTATGCTCAGATAATTTAAAAAAAAAAATCTATATAGGTACAAATTACATTTGAAAAACATATACATGCATGTACTCGATTGTGATATTTCGATATGCAATCGTACATAAAAACCAAACGATGTACATAGTATACGCACTTGCGAAAAATTGGAATACATTAAGCATGAAGAATCTTACTGAAGAAATTTTCCTTTGAAAATGATCCATATTGTCTTTTCACTTATGTCTTACATTAAAATAAATACACATAAGGTAGTGGCAAAGGCCTGGAACAGGTTCGTAGCAATGGTTTCAAAAGTGGAGGCCCCCCCCCCCCTTATACAAAAATCTGACAAGCCAAAAAAAAAAAAAAACACCTAAACTACCAAAAAGTAGGATTTGTGGGGGGAGGGGAACTTCCCAAATGTAAGTGACCAAAAAAAACTTCATTAACTGTCGAAGTCAAAAAACCAAATTAACTGTTCAAGTAATGGAATTTGCCAAGTTAAAAAGCTAATCAACTGTCCAAGTCATGGAATTATGGAATTTGCCAATGCTTGACCTTACAGCGACAAAAAGTGGGGGGGGGGGGCACCATTTGAAGGGAAATTTAATGTAGCAAAATACTACACTCAGAAAAAGAGGAGGGCCGGGACCCCCTGGCCCCACCGCGTTCTACAGACCAGTGGAAAATTTAACAAGTAATTATGAAATCATATATTATTAAAATATGGATAAGAGATTAATTTTTGAAAATTTATCAGTTGTATTGAATTTATAATTTTATTACAGAATAATCAATTCTAACTGAATTAGATTTCTTGGCATTCAAGCTGATACATGTATTATAATACATGTATTACACTTTGGACATACAGTATAACATTGATATCGATATGATAATTTACACAGTCCGTGTACATGTACAACATTTCCATTAGCACAAGCATTCCCAATAAAGGTTGCAAAAGCTTAATTAGTTTTTAATCAATTTTTTGCAATCACTAGATTTAAAGATATTAACGAGTAATGATTTTCATATTCATAAATATTTTTAGATATTAATCAAAATTTCTTCTTGATATATGTTTTATGAGTATAATGCATTAAATGACAGCAAATTTGAAACTCTGCTTCTCATTTACATTTTAGTATTTTTATAAATTTCTGAAATATTTTCATTTAATACATTTCCAGTCGGGATCAGATTTATTTAGATCGGGAAAGGTATAAATTTCAACATCAACATCTTCTTTTAAATCTAGTAATTCCATTTCAATTTCTAGTAATAATATGATCATATAATATTTCTTTTATAGATGCAGAATGTTTCTTGAAGATTTTATCTAGATTTAAAGATATTAACAGTGATGGATCCAGGAATCTTGAAAAGGGGGGGGGGGCAGTTTGGGGTCGGGGTAGGGGCCCACGGCCACACCGTAAAAATTGATTTATTAAATTTTATGTATATTTTGGACACAAATGGGGGGGGGGGGGGGGCTGGGTCCCTTCTAAATCCACCAGTGATTAACAAGTCATGATTTTCATATTCAAAAATATTTTTAGATAAGCAAATTTTCTTCTTCTTCATATGTTTTATGAGTATAATGAAACTCTGTTTCTCATTTACCCATAAAAACATTTGTAACACGTTATTGACCACTTTCTTTTCAAATGCATGTAATATAAAGTGTTTATCTGTTCATAAATCGATCAAAAGACACTCTCAAACAAAATTCTTCCGAGAAAAGTGCGATAGATTGTGGATTAATTAAAAACAAGTACCTATTCAAAAAAAAAAAAAAAAAATTATAGACCCATTTGCACATCTTATACGCCATGACAGTTACTCCTTTGAAATAGGGGGGGGGGGACAGAATTACGGACAAGATAATTAATTACCGGAACATTTTACAAATTCATATTTTTCTGTTCTATAAATTTTATATTTAGTTAAAGAGGAAATTAAGGTAAAAGGTGCATTAACTTAATTGATGACATAATTACCGAATATTATTTATTATCGAAAATATCTTAAATGAATATTGTTTGAGGAGTTTTTATTTTTTTCAAAAACAATATCCATTTCAAAAGTAAAAAAAAAAAAATCAGGGACCCAGTGTGTGGGAGAGATGTGGAAGGGGGGTAGGTAGTTGAGTAACCAAAATATTCAGCAAACTTTGACAGTACAAGAAAACAAAAACTGAAAGTGTAGGTCAGCCTAAATTACAACTTAATTTTTAACAGAAAACATCATTTCTAGAAAAAGCGGGAGGGTTGCAGCCCCCTCCCCCATACTAAGGGTTCCTGCTTTTTTTTTTTTAAACTCGGGCACTTCTTAATATCTTAAGCTTACCCAGTTTCACAATTCAAAATTCTTTCAAATTTCTAACTCATCAAACCTTTTTACGAAAGAAAGTCTGCATCCTCGCTGGATTTTTACTACCTTTCTATTTACCTACATAATGATTGTATATTTCACGATTTTCCGCATGTCATATATGTACATGAATAGCTAGGTATTATATCGTATACGTACAAAATAATTATTCTTTTATCTCTTTATGATCAAAACACTGGACACTTTTTTCAAGTTGTGTACAGTCTAAGAACTTACGCCTACTCATGAGCAGGCGTAGATTTAAGCTTAACTTTAGTCTCGACTAAGTCTGCGCCTTTTTGTGAAACGCTACTTAGTCCGATTTTGGGGTTTAGTCACTGACTTAGTCCGGACTAAGCTTACGCCTTGTCGTAGGCCTTTTTGAGAAACGAGCCCCAGCTGTGGTCAGTCGACCAGATCCTAGACATTTAAACTATAAATGTTTCGTACGCCTTATTCCTGCAGATCACACACGCCAAACACGCCCATCTTCTTTAACTGAACAAATGTGTTTTTAGCGAATACCTTTTCTTCCAAATTATGTCGTTTTGATTTGAGACTTTGCAATTTTTTATTTTTTTTATTTTTGAAATAAATTTTGAATGAACAAATGTGTTTTAGCGAATATCTTTTCTCCCGAATTTGTTATGTCGTTTGGATTTGAGACTTCGCAAATTTTTATTTTCGATTTGGCTAAGTTCATCATCTATGGAGGATACATCAGTCACAATGGATTTTCCGGTTGGTTCATCACTGCTATTCCAGCCTTCTTCTTAATCAAGCGCACTACTATCTAACGGTTCTTCATGGGAACGAACTGCGGGAAAATCATGTTGCAAAATGGAAATAATTTTCTCTTGTTCAGCTACTTTCTTCTCCAGGCTTTGAATGCGATTCTCCTGATTTTTCAGAGTGAGTTCAAAATCCTTTTGGAGTTTTGTAATTCGTGCCACATTGTCCTTTTGAAAGGCCGTAAGAGTAGTTCTTAGCCGTTGCGTTGTAATTGTTTGTCCGTCTGGAGATCCCGTTGGATTCAAAATATCGAGGACTGGATCTTCTTGAAAAATATTAGGGACTCTCTGATTTAATTTGGATCCCAAACAAATCAGAAATGGGAGAAGACAAACTTGTAAAATGCGACTTAGCATTTTTCTGTGGTGGTTTAGCACCTAAATCGTCTGGATGATTATTTGGTTTGCATGAAATGCCATAATGTAGGTCACCTGCAAAAGAAGGACGTTTACAGATATCTATTCAGTTGAACTGATAAAGAACATTGCCATGGCTATAAAGATTCAAAAAGTAAAC